TAGTGGCATATACCAAGAGATTCATTAAAGTCTGAGGTGCTTTGTCAAAGATAAAATAAATATGGATACATGCTTTTTAACATAATATGCCTCTTTGGAACTTAGCTGTTCTTCCTCTAGAACTGCTCCTGATATCGTAAATGCAGACTCAATTTGTAGTTCACCTTTAATAAGCCTTTCTCCGCCTTTGCCTTCAAAACACATTGATTTTTACTGAACTTTCTCCCTGTTGCTATTTACACACTGTAAGGTCTGCAGTGTGAGCTGGATTCCTCCATGCCTGCAACCTCAGAAATAGAGCAACGGGATGTAGAAGGACCCTATCTTGTCATTACCACGCTCGTACTGCCTTCATTGGGCCGCAGTTCCTGACGTAGAGTTTTTTGCCTTCCTTTTTTGTTTTTCTAAGGTTCTGTGCAAAGTGTATTAGTACGCTATTAGTTTAGTTTGCATATTAGATGAGTAAAGGCTATGTAACTCACTGCCTGAGACAGTGACAGCAGTAGGACGCAGTCCCCAGATGGCACCATGAGCCTGCTTCTTGAGAGCTGTCAATGAGAAGAAGGATCTAATGAGTAAAGGCTATGTAACTCACTGCCTGAGACAGTGACAGCAGTAGGACACAGTCCCCAGATGGCACCATGAGCCTGCTTCTTGAGAGCTGTCAATGCGAAGAAGGATCTCTATTAGGTCCAAGGCTAAGGACTGAGAAGTACAAACAGCCTGATCTGTCACAGGATCTAGAGACAATCCTTTAAACATAACTGTCAGTGTTTTCAGTCTTTGTTCCTTAGCTATATTAAATGTAATACACACACACACACACACACACACACACACACACACACACACACACGGTCTTGTAGTCCCAGCTGGCCTGGAACTTACTGTATAGACCAGTCTGGCCTCAGTCTCACAGAGAACTGCCTCTTTCTGCCTCCCAAGAGTTGGGATTAAAAACATGTACCACCATGCTTGGTTCTAAGTGTAATATTTTGTAGTAATTTTTACTTGATTATTAATGGTTTTGGACATTTTCCACATCTTTGTTGGGTTTTCTTTCCCTGTGTTGATTTTGTTTCTATTCTTTGTTCATTTTTCTTTTAGGTTGTTTGATTTTGCTATTGATTTATATGATTATTTCCTGTACATAATAGAAATTTAGTTTTAAGTTATGGTTAAATTTGACACTATTAAACCATTTTGAATATGTACTTAAGGAGTACCTTAGTCATATAACATATGTTCATACCGTTGTGTAACCACCATCTATTTCCAGAACTATCCCATCATCTCAAACCGAAAGAAGCAATGGCTAGAGTTCATGGGCTATATGACAATGCCGTAGCCATAAATGTATGTCTAAGTCCGAGGGCCTCTTCCATCACTGCCAAGGAGAACACTACTTTCTCCCTTTTCACACAATTTTAGAACCATGTCTTCAGTGATATAATCCTGTAGGTATTTCTGTGACTGCAAATATAATATAACTAATGCTACTTTAAAAGATGTATTCATGCATTAAATATGTGAACAACTACTCCCCACATTCTCAATGAGCGTCATCCATCATCCTGAGCAAGTGCTGCTCTTTTTTTTTGTCTTTGTAGTTTCTTTATTTTTTTTTAAATTTAATCTACTGGTGTTTGATGTTTTCATTGCTTGCCAATGTGGCATTTCCAGCTGTGCATGGAAATTAATTTTCTATTTGAATAGACAATTCCAGGAAACTATCTATTAAGGTAACAGGCGGCAAAGGGAATGTTGCTTTACAATTTATTTTGGTGGTCTTCCTGGCATTAGAAGCAGGCTGGGGATAGTTGATTTAAGAATTGCTGATAGGCAGTTTACTTCTTCACTTTTAAGTTATATTACTTATGTAAAATAAGCTTTGCAATAGGTCATAAAAGTAGTAACTGAAAGAATGCCTGTGACACAGAAAACTTATCCTTCTTTTGATGGAAAAATTCTAAGTGGATTTTCTGTGGTGTTTGTAAAATTTAGGACAAAAGATCTTTGGGAAATTAGATTGATTTTTCTGGGAGTTCAAAATCTAAGGTACACAGAATCTTATCTGAAAGTCTAACGGTAACTAAACATTTCTTGAGATATTACCTCTTTCATGTCCATTGAGTTGTACAATGCTTACCACATCACAGACTCAGCTTTTCAACCTTAGATGAACAGAAGGTATGTGGAGGCAAGCTTGGAAGCCAAGGAAACAAGAATGTGCAAACAAATATATTAGAATGAGACTGAGTAGTGTCTTGACTAGTTTAAGTAGAGTGACAGTAGTTTATATTAATCTGAAGATTATAAAATTAAAAATTTTAAGTGAATTGGAGAACTAAGAGAACTTGTAAAGGGCATGGAAGTTGACACAAACCTTGGCAGATGGTTGAATCAGAGATAGGCAAAAATTCTTCAGTGCTTTCTAGAGAGAAAGTGTATTGAAGAGGAAACAGATGTTCATGGGTGAAGAAGATATTTAAGTTACCAGAAAATTATAATGTAGCTTCTGAATTAGGAAAATGATGAGAAAAAAAGGCCAATAAGCCATGTCGGGCTGCATAGCACAGAACAATATGGTATAAGACAAAGACCTGGAGTCATTCAATGAGATGCCATTGGGAGTTAAAGATCAGAACAAGTTATATGGTAAAAGCAACAGTTTTGAACATAAGTGCTCCAGTGCTCCAGTGATGCCTGAGCTGAAGGATGGAGAAGTGAGGTTAAAGCTGGTTCACATCAGAGATATGAGGCTGAACAGAGAAGATGGTAATGAGAATAGAGAAAAAGTTGAGAAACTTTTGAAAAATAAACCCATAGCGTGGTAGTTAATATTTGTGTCATCTTAATGATCCATGGGATACGCAGATATTTTGTCTATTTCTTTCAGAATGTTTTTGGATGAGATTAGTATTGAAACCAGCAGTTCAAATAAAAGAGATTGCCTTCTATAGCATGGGAGAGTGTCATCCAATTAACTACAGATCCAAATAGAAGGAAAGGCTGAATCTGAATCTGCCCACAGAAGAGATACTTTTCCTAGCTGATAACATTTAAACTGGGATGAAGACTCTGGTTCCACAGTAGCCCTTTGGACTGTAGACTCCATCATGTAGTGTTAACTTCTTGAAATAAATTCCATTTTTTGGTGTCTCTAAGAAATATATACACACACACACACACACACACACACACACACACACACACACACATATATATCCCTTTTACTCTGTTTCCCTAGAGACTATGCATAGGATATGGAGACAATTAGATATGAGAACCACACAGGAGGTGAGGAAGGAATAAGGAACTTAAGTGACTGCAGTGAGGTGACATAGGCTGCTTTTGTGGGTTAGGCTGAATGTGTTGTCATGGAATCATCTAAATGGAAGGGAACAAAAGCCAGAAGACAGAACAAGACCACGTTGGAGTAGGGGGATAGTTGAGCCTACGGGAATCCCAGGGCCAGAGGGCGAACATGAACTAGTATATAAAAAGAGAGGCACCCACATGGCAACTAACAACTGTCTATAACTCCAGTTCCAGGGGATCTGACACCCTCTTCTGACCTCCGTGGGCACCATATGACATGAGTGCACTTACATACATGCAAGCAATATGCTCATACACACAAAAATAAAAATAACAAAGTATGTAAAAAAAAAAACTTAAAAAGGGAGAGAGAGAATACTAATGCATCTCTCCAGTTTCATCAGTGAAGCTCCCTCATGCAACGGAGGGTAGTAAACACAAAAGGCCAGTGTAGAGAATATTAGTCTGCAGAGTGTGGATCTCTGGGCAGGAATCCTATATTAAACCTCACCTATCCAGGGCTCAGGGACCATTACAGAAGAGGTTGGGGGAATAGCATCTTACAGGCTCCTGGGACCTTGCTCATATGAATCTACAGCAATGGTGCCAACATGCAAAAGACCCATGCAAACTTAAGCAGACAAAAACCCAGCAGAGAGCTGGGTTGAAATGGCCAGCTGATCTTTAAGGGAGTGACTCTAGATAGGTTGACTAGACCCCAGTGAATGAACTTGCTTTGAGGGACATCTGGGTACACTAACTTGACTACATAGGCTGTAACATATATGACAGAATGAATGAAATCTGGTGGGTGGGTTATGGGGGTTTCTGATGGGAGGGGGGTATAAAATTGATTCAGATGTTTTGTATGAAATGCACAAAAAATTCAATAGAATAGAAACCTGAAACAATCTATTTGGTGATAGCACTCTTTTAGACACTGGTGAGACAGCCTGATCAAGAATGTGGGCTCTGTAACTCAGGGATTTGCTAGATCCTGCTTCCTCCACTTTGAGAGCCCTGGGAATGCTAAACATTACTTTTCCCTTTATTACCCACATGGTGGTAAAGTCCACTAAGTGAAAACTGAAGCAGGAATTGGGATTCCCTCGCCCTCACCTTTGCAATTAAGTAGAGATGGACTTTGAAACTTGAGCTTTTAATTCCTAAGACCTTTCATTTCTTTCCTCCAAAAGAGGTTAAATTAATTTTCTTTTAGGATTCCTTGCACCTCAAATATTTACAGACTATCTAAATGTAAAATTTTTTCAAAGCTTCAACAATGGTCTTTTGGTAAATTCAGAAAATGCATCAAATTTTATAGCAAATCACCTTCCTCATTTAAAAACATTATTAAATTAATATTAATCTAAATGTTTTGATCAAATAAATCAAAACTTTCATATAATCTTGTCTAGAAGCATCTTTGACTTACATTGTTCTGAAAATATTAAATGTATGATTAAAAGCTCTTTTACATAAGGATGAATTCTATTTTATCTACTTTTAAATTAATACAGCTGTGAAAAAGAATAATACAAGAAACATTTTCTGTACATTTTAACATTATAAAGAATGTGATCTTTATGAAAATCTCATTACAAGTCTTCCACTTCTATAGCCCTTTCATGGAATCAGGATGTAATAGAAATAAAGGTGGAGTCATGGGTTCAAATGGGTCTAGGTGCTTCGTGTGTTTCATCCAAAACGCATTACAGATCTATGTTGAGAGCATATAATTTTGATTGGTATCGGAATGCTTTCTCCTAGCTGGAGTGATGATTCAGTGGTTAAGAACTTTGGCTGTTCTTGCAGAGGACCTTGGTTTAGCTCCCAGCACCCATGTGGTGGCTGACAACTGTCTGGAACTCCAGTTTCAGGGAGTCTGACATCCTCTTCTGGCCTCTAAGGGCATTACACACATGTGGTGCACTTCCATAAATACAGGCAAAATACTCATACACATAAAATAAAAAGAAATAAAATAATTAAAAAACCATGCTTTGTCTTCTGAACAGTATATTTTAATTCTAGGATATTTTAAATATCAGTTTGGGTATTTGACCTGTGAGTGACATTTAAATTATAGTATATCCCCTTTCACAGTTTTAAAATTTTTTAATTTTAATTAATTTTTTTTTGTGGATTTCATACAACATATCTTAATAATACTTAACCCCTTCCTTATCTGCACCACCTTAACCTACCCACAGGATTCATGCATTTTGTCATATATGCCTATAGAGTTAAGTTTGTGTACCCAGATATACTTTGATGTGAGTTCATATAGTTCCAGATATGGTGGATTTCAAAAAACAATTTGGAAAAAAACTGTGACCTCTTTGCTTTTGAAGGCATGTAACATGTATGTTGATATAATATTTGTGACACAGAAACTGTTGATCGATTGGAAGGTAGATGCTAAAAACTTTAACTCAAATTCATTAAATGATAAGGATTAGAATCAGGCTTTCATAGCCCAGGACTAGCATTGTGGATTTGATCCTGGTTATGATAATCACTGGCCTCTTTCTGGGCAGTAGGGTACATTGTCTGTGATCTTTCTCGTTCGGTGACTCTCTGCACTGTACAACTGCCAGCTGGAAACAAACTTCCGATAGCTCCCAAAATATTGATGCTGCTTTTTTTGTCATTGAATATGTCTTTTATTTGCTTCAAAGCTCCTTCAATTAATAGATAAGATTCCTCTCAGGGACTAGCTAGATGCTATGAGAACACTAACCAAATGTATACACCTTTCTGATAAGACGCCTCTGTCTGGAAAGTAATATCTATAAGATATTTCTAATTGAGATAATTAAAAATTGTTTATTTTTAATTTTCCATATTCTCAAACTTCTAGATGTCTTGTGAGATAATTTATACTTGGATTCATTTTATTTTGTGTGTATTTATGTACAGGGCATCTAGGCAAGTAATTGGCAGGCTGACTTACTAGTTCTGTTGGTATTATGTATAGGTATATTGATAATTTTTGTATATATTTATATGCAGGTCATTCAGACAAACATACTGGCTAGCTGACTCCTTGGTTTGGTTGATATTATGTATAGTTATGTAGCTATAGAATCTGCCTTTATTAGTTG